CTGTCCTATCTTACGCTATACTACTAGTAGTTTTAGCCTTTATATTGTCTAGTAAATAATTCTGATTAAGATCTTTTGTCTGATCATTTGTTATAATAAATGATTCATTTTATATAAATATTCTCATTTGCCAATTATTAAAACCTGCGGGACAAAAGTGGTTCAATCACACCTCCGTAATTCCTTAAATTTAAACTGTTGACACAGTCCGAGGCTGAGATTGGATTCAGCTGCACCCAGGCTCTTCTCCAAGCAGGGGTTTAGGAAGCCAGGGAGTCCTTTCTGCCCCTTGGGACTCAAGGGCAGGACTTCTTAATAAATTTTGTCTAAGCCTCCGTGACACTGGGACCATGCTGGGAGAGACTGGGATCATGCTGGGACTATACTAGGGGCAACTGAGTGCAACAGGGATCACAGTGGGAGGAACAGGAAGCAACTGCAACCATGCTGGGGGCAACTGGGATCATACTGGGATTGCACTGTGAGCAACTGGGCCCATGCTGGGGGAGACTGGGATCACACTGGGACTGTCTGGGACTATACTAGGGGCAACTGGGAAGACACTGTGAGGAACAGGGAGCAACTGGAACCACATTGGGGGCAATTGGGATCACACTAATGGTGACTTGGATCATACTGGGAGTGACAAGGAGCATGCTGGGGGCAACTAGGACCATGTTATGGGCAACTGGGATATAGTGGGAGCAACTGAGATAATGCTTGAGGTGATTGGGGTCATACTGGGAGTGACTGGGACCACACTGAGGGTGACTGGATTTGACTGTGAGCAACTGGGATCATGCTGGAAGCAACTGGGAGTGACTGAGAGGATGCTGGGGGTGACTGGAACCACAGTGGGGGTGAAAGGAAGCAACTGGAACCATGTGGGGGGCAACTGGGCTCATACTGGGAGAAACTGGGAGTGACAGGGACAGTACTGGGACTACCTGGCAGTGAGTGGGATCATACTGGCAGCATCTGGGACCATGCTGGGAGCAAATGGCATCACACTGCAAGTGACTGGGTTGATACTGGGAACAAATAGAACCATGATGGAGGCAACTGGGATCATACTGGGAGTGACTGCAAGTGACTGGCATCATACTGGAATCATACGGGGAGTGGTGGGCAGTGACTAGGATCATACAGGAGGTGACCGGGATCATATTGGCATTGACAGAGAGCAACTGGGATCGTATTGGGGCAACTGGAATCATACTGGGAGTGACTGGGATTATAGTGGGTGTGAATAAGACCTTAGTGGGGGTTACTAGGAGCTACTGGGATCATGCTGGGAGCCAACTGGGGACACACTGGGAGCAACTGGGATCAACTGGCAGATACTGGAATGATTCATGGAGTACTAAGACCACAGTTGGGGCAACTGGGATCATACTGAGAGCAACTGGGGCCACACTGGGAGTGTCAGTAACCATACTGGTGGTGACTGGGACAACATTGGGAGTGACTATGTTTACACTGGGGGCAACTGGGAGTAACTGGAACCCTGTTGGGGGGGACTGGGATCATACTGGACTCATACTGGGAGGGACTGGCACTATGCTGGGGGAAACTGGGACCATAGTGTGTGTGCAAGTGGGATGTAGTAGCGGGCTTATACTGGAGGTGACTGGGCTTGTACTGGGAGTGACTGGGCTCTGGGAAGCGCAAGATGGGGAGGAGGAGAAGCGCAACCCCTCCCACTGCTCTGCATTGCCAAAATCCTTGTTCCCAGTTCCCACTCTGGCCCTGACCAGCAGATCCGCTCGGGGATCCCTTTCCCTGCCACTTCCCTGCCCTCTGCCCGCCTTCCCGCCACTGGAAATCTGCACTTTGGAACCTCATCCCATTGTTTCCTCCTTCTCTTCCCTATTATTGTCAGGGTCCCCCTGCACCCCGTTTTCTCGGGCACTGGGAACCCCTGGCCATTCCCAGTTTTCCAGCCCCCAGACCCCTCTTTCTTTGACTCCAAGATCCCCCTGCCCCCCTTTCCTGGCCTCCCTGCCTCTCCCAGTCCCTGAATCCCCCTTTTCCTTGAGCCCGGGGACCATGGTCCCTCATTCCCAGCCATCCCAGGTCACCTCACCCTCAGCACCCCCTTTCCTTGACTCCAGGACCCCCTGAAGCCCCTTCCCAGCTCTCACAGCTCTCCCAGTTCCCCTCTTTTCTTGACCCTGGGATCTCCCAGATCCCCAGATCTCCATGTCTCTCTAGTTCCCCACTCCTGGTGCTTCCTGCAGGGGGGTCCTGGGGTATCCCACGACCCCCTGAACCCCCCATTCCTGTGCACTGAGACCCCCCCCTGAACTCCCTTATCTGAGACTGGGACCCCCTGCACCCACTTCCCCAGCTCCAGAACCCCCTGCACCCCTTTCCTGGCCATCCTGCTTCTCCCAGACTCCACAATCCCTTTTCCTTTATCTTGGGACCCCTGGACCCCCATTCCTGGGCATCAGGACCCCCCTGCACTCCCTTACCCAGCACTAAGCCCCCTTTGAACACCTTTTCCCAGCCATCCCACCTCTCCAAGTCCCCAAACCCTCTCTTTTCCTTGACCCTGGCACACCCTAGACTCCCATTCCTGACTCTCTCAGTCCCCAACCCCTCCTTTCCTCAACGCTCAGGACCCCCTGAACCCCCTTCCCACACATCCTGGGTCTGCCCATCCAATGAACCATCTTTCCCTGACACTGAAGGCCCCTGGACCCCACTTTCCTGGGCACAGGGATCCCCTGGTCCCCCTATCCCTCCTCTCCCCACTGTTAGTCCTGCCTTTTCTTGACCTTGGGACCCACCTGATCCCCCATTCCCAGGCACTGGGACCTTCCTGCACTCCCTTCCCTCGCTCCAGAACCCCCCTGGAATCATACCGCCTTATCCTGCACCAATACCTACCTGCACCTCCTTTCCTGCCTATCCCACCTCTCCCTGCTCCCAGACTCCCTTTTTCCTTAACTCTTGGACTCCACTTGATCCCCATTCCTCCCTTTCCGAGACCCCCTTTGCTTCACATCAGGGACCCCCTGAGACCCTTCACAGCCATCCCGTGTCTCCCCACCTCGTGACCCCCTTTCTCTGACACCAGGGACCCCCGGATCCCCCTTTTCTGGGCACAAGGTCCCCCTGGACTGCCCCATCCCACGTCTCCAAGCCCACGCACCCTCTTTTCTTCGAAACCCCCTTCCCCAGCACCGTGTCCCCCTGCACCCCCTTTCCCGACCATCCCACCTCTCCTCACCCCCGGCCTCTCCCGCCTTGACTCTGGGACACCCCCAGCCCCCCCAAGCCCCCGTGTCCCCCCAGTGCCCCCTCCCCGCGTTACCTGTTGGTGGCGCGGTCGGAGCCCGGCCCGGGGCTCCCCCGGTCGGCGGCCGGTCCGGCGGGGCCCGCAGGAGCCGCGGAGGCCGCGGATGGGCGGGAGCGGGAGAAGGGAGGGAGGGAGGAGGAGAGGGAGGTGGGGTCTGGGAGGAGCCGGAGCCGCAGGAGCGGAGAGAAAAAGAGAAGGGCGAGGCGGGGGCGCAGCGGGAGCGAGGGCGGAAGGAGAGGCCGGGAGGCCGCAGCTCCCCCGCCCGCATCGCTCAGGTGAGCGCGGGGGGAGCTCGTCCCCGGTATCTTGGACAGTCTCTGGGTTTGTTGTGTTTTTGGGGGAGGGGATGTCTGGAGCTTGGAGGACTCTAAAGCTGAGCCGCAAATGCCCCTTGGGGGGATACTGGGGGTCCCCGGGAGGTGTTTTTTTGGGGGTCTCGGTGGCGGTTCCCGGCAGAGCCGCGGTGATGGGTGGGGGATGTGAGGTGTCTCCCCCCGCGGTGGGGGTTGTTCTTCCTGGGTCAGGCCCTTCATTGCCAGCCCAGAGCACGGAGAGGGGGCACCCCTGGGACCCTGAGACGGAGAGCCCGTACACGAGGGACCCCCGAGACCCCCTTCAGCCTGGAGGGGGGGGACACAGGAGAGGGGAGACCCCTGGGATACTGAAGTAGGGAGCCCAGAGAGGGGGCAACTCAGGATTCCCCGGACCCCCGGCAGCCTGGAGAAGGGGGAGCACAGGAGAGGGGGAACCCCTGCGAACCCGGCACCCTGAAGCAGAGAGTCAGGGGAGAAGGGACCCCTGGGACTCCCAAAACCCCCGGCGTCCTTAAACGGGGGGCTACAGAGAGGGGGGACCCCGGGACTCCAAAGTGGGGAGACTAGAGATGGGGGACCCCTGGGATTCCCAGGACCCCTGGCAGCCCAGAGAGGGGGGACCCCCAGTTCACACAGGACCCCCAACAGCCTGGACATGGGGGACCTCCAGAACCCCAGAGAGGAGAGACTAGAGAGAGGGGAACCCTGGGAGGGTTTTTTTAGGATGAATCTTGGTGGTTTGGGCTGAGTCTTGGGAATGCAGAGAGGACATGGTGCTGGGGAAGGGAGTTTCCAGACGATCCAAGGGTAAAGGGGGATGCAGGGACTTGGAGAAGTGGGATGAGGAGTCCAGGGGAAACAGGGCATCTAGAGGGTCCTCCTGTCCAGGAAAGGATGGTCCAGTAGTCTGCAGTGTCAGGAAAAGGTGGTTCACAGGATGGGGAGACCTGGGATGGCTGGGAAGGATTCAAGGAGTCCATGGTGTGAAAGAAGGGGGCTCTGGGAAAGGCAGGAATGCAAGTTCAGGGGGTCCCAGGGTCAAGGAAAGGGGGAGCCTGGGGGCTGGGAGAGGTGGGATGGGCAGGAAAGGGAGTACAGGGAGGTATTGGGGCAGGATAAGAGGATGAAGGGGGGTTGGAGCTGGGGAAGGGGGTGCAGGTGGGTCCCAGTGCCTGGGAATGGGGGATCAGGTGGGTCCCAAGGTCAAGAAAAGGCAGGACTAGGGGTGGGAATAGGACAGATGTGGGGTCCAGGGTGTCCCTGTGCCCAGGAAAGTGGAGTCCAGGGGCCTCCAGTGTCAGGGAAAGATGGTTCATTGGGTGGGGAGACCCAGGATGTGTGGGAAGGAGGTTCAGGGGGTGTTGAGGAAAGGAGGAGTTGGGGACTGGGAGAGTCAGGAATGGGGGTCGAGGGGGTGTCAGGGTCTAGGAAAGAGGGAAACTGGGAGAGCTGTGAGAGCCGGGAAGGGGCTTTGGGATGTTCCAGGGTCAAGGAAAGGGGAAGCTGGGGGTGAGGTGACATGGGATGGCCAGGACTGGGGGCTTGGGTGTCCCCGCGGTCAAGGAAACAGGGGGATCCAGGGACTGGGAGAGGTGGGATGGTCAAGAAAGGGGGGTGGGGGGATCCTGGAGTCAAAGAAAGAGGGGTCTGGAAAACCGGGAATGGCTGGGCAGGGAGGTCCCAGGCCAAGGGGAGCAGGAAGAGGAGGAAGAACACCTGGTGGGGGCTGCTGAGATCCCTGGAGTGGGGAGAGTGGAGAGGGGCGATACGGGAACTGGGGGAACCCCAGCAACCTGGACGAGGCAGGGGGAACCTGCAGAGGGGGGAGGCTCGGGAGTTCAGGAACCCTGAAATGGGGCCTGGAGTGGGGGCATCCTTGGGACCCCCAGGACCCTGAAGTGAGGAGCCTGGAGATGGAGGAATCCTGGGACCCTGGCAGCCTGGATAAGGGGACCCAGAGAAAGGGGAGCTCACAGAAGGGGGACCACTGGCAACCTGGAGGTGGGGACAGCTCTGGGACAATGAAGTGGGAGCCCAGAGAGGGGGGACCTCTGGGATTCCCTGCACCCCCATCAGCCTGGAGAGTGGGAGACCCCAGAGAGGCAGGAACCCTGAGATCCCCAGCACGGCAAAGCAGAGAGTCAGGGGAGAAGGGACCCCTGGGACCCCTGAAAGCATCCCTAGGCAGGGGGACCCTGGAGGGGGAGCAAATCCAGGACCCCCAGCAGCCCAGAGAAGGTGGTCATCCCTCAGAACACCAAAGTGAGAAGACCAGATAGGGATCCCCAGCAGCCCAGAGAGGGCGGGGACCCTGGAAAGGGGGGACCCCCAATACACGCGGGACCCCCAGCAACCCCAACAGGGGGGACCCCCAGAACCCCAAAGTGGAGAAACCAGAGAGGGGGAACTCTGTGGAGCATTTTCTGGTCTGAATCTTGGAGTTCTGGGGTTTTTTTGGGGCTGAAACTTGGTATTTAGGTTTTTATGGGCACAGGATGCCTGGTGACTTCTAGAGATGGACTTGGGCAGGAGGAACCCCCAACCCAACGGGCTCACACCCTGTTTTTCCCACCAAAACAGGATTTCTCATTCCCAAACCTTGGCTGGATGGAGGAAGAGGCTGTGAGGAAGAGGAAGATGCCCCAGGACACCCAGACAGGTGAGGAGGAAGTCAGTGCCCCTTTCCTCCTCTGTTGTCCTGCATCTTCCAGCTGAGTATCACCCCTGGCTGCAGGACAACCTCGCTGCTGTCCTGCCGGGGATGGATTTGAGGGGATCTCCTTCCCCTTCTCTCTCTGGGCCGGAACAGATGAACAGGAGTGTCCAGTCCCATAGGCCGAGATGACACAATGAATCTCTGCAGTTCCTGCAAAGTAGAGCCTAAACCGTTAAACAGTTTTGCTGATTAACCTTCCCTTATGTGAATAGGGAGCATGTTGTTTTCCGCCTTGTATGGATTGTATGTGGATCTTTCATATGGCCATAGACAAGGCCTGAACCCACATCATAGATGTTTCTTGACAAACCCTGTTTATTTGTGCTTTGTGAGTCGATGAAGTGTGACTCTCTGTCTGATGACAATCTCACAGGAGCCCCAAATCTTGGAATTCCTGCATCTTTACTGTGTGAGAGGAACTCAAGCTTTTATCACATAAAGTGATTAACTGCCAGTCAGAGATCTATAGGCCAGTTAGGAGCTTACCAGCAGCAGGCTGTGTCTGAATGCAAAACCAAACAGCACCCTGGCAGTGCCAATAGCTCACCACAGAGAGCTTGCACTCTCTGGACAGATTCCAGGCCTTACTGGGGGGACAGGCCATCCTGCCACAGTGTGCCCCAGACTGCAGTCGATCATCTTTACCTCATGGAGTGATAGTGCAGGTACCTCTTGCCTCCATGGGTAAAAGCATCCTCATGTATTGGGTCAGGTGCACTCATGGATATGTGAACACCAACAAAACAGCTGTATTACAATAAAGCTGGGAAGCAATCTAAGCAAACCATTTAAGTGATCTAAACAAATCATCCCAACAACAATGTTACCACTTTGTCTCAAAGATTGCAGGCAAGATGTAAGTCAGGTCTCAGGGTCCTATGGGAGAGTCCACAGAACCAGTGCTGTTGCAGTGCTGCAGCCGCCTTCTCATCCCCGTTTCTGTCCTAATGCAGGACTTTTCTTTTGTGAAACTCAGCGTTCACACACTCCTAAATGACACTGGATAAGAAAACATCTTAGAGGCATAAGGTACATAAATTTGATCTCACAATCCCATGAAATCCTATGTGGATTTTCCTACCAAACCATCCCTTCAGGAGGAATCCCTTTCACAGGCTGCAGTAGCCAGAGACACAGATATTCCAAACAGCATTTACAAACTGCTGTTAAACTGCTGGGACAGAACATATACAAATATGAACATTGCAAACTTTAAAGCAATCAGTGTAGCAAAAGCAATATAGGCTTTCAATTCTTCTGTAATTAAAATAACAGAGAAGCCTAAAAGAAACATAGAACAGATGACAACAAAAACAAATACAATGGTCATGGCACTGTCTGGTGTCCTGACAGTATTATTCAAATTGCAGTCTGATTCTTGTATATGCACCACCTTTGGAGATCATAGGCTCATCTTACAACAGTTCTTAGCCATGTCAGAAGCCTTTCCTTATTGGTCTTTCTTGTTTACTTACTCCTGACCCATTTCAGGAATTCTTATTACAGTCCAAAACCTCTTGTCTTGGTGTGTCTCACTTGCAGTTGTTCAGGCCTTTGTTCACTTCTGCATAAAAACTGTTTCCATCCATATCACTTTCAGTCTGAGTTCTGGTGGCACAGTTTCCAAGTCTGTCTGCTGAAATGGACTTTCTGCAAACAGTCAACTTGACACATTGTTAGTTCACATTGAGAGCAAAACAGTGCCCCCCTTTTGATTTTGCCACAGCCCCCCGAGCTCAATCAGGGCACAAAGGGCAGGAATATTCACAGGCTGTGAGTCTGAAACAGGCCCAGAGCACACAGGGGCCAATACAGGTAGCTCTTCTTCCCCCCCCTTTTCGTGTCAGCCAGTCCAGCGGGCAGGGGAGGGCCCACGGCGGTGGCCGCCCGGTCCGTGGGACAGTGCCGGTCCTTCGGTACCGCGTCCGTCCTGCCGGGCTCCATTGGGAACCCCCCCGCAGTTCACCACAGGGACGGGGCCAGACCAAGTCTCGGGCAACCTTCCCTTCTGACCTTTCCTTTTCGCTGGTGTAAAAAATATCTTGCCCAGTTTTCGACTACTCCTGGGCTCTGTTGCTACAGCAACGACCGCGAGCCAGGAGCTCGAGCGGGCAGGGCCGCGCCAGCTCGGGAGGCGGGGGGGGCCGGGGCAGGACCCTTCGTGCCCGCGCTGCCTTTTCCCTGCCCGAGACAGAGCCGGCCGACCCAGGCTTCGGGGGGCCGAAACTGCGCTTCCCAAGTCTATGGGGGAAAACCGAGGGTGTCGGGGGAGAGTGGGGGCGATCGAGCCGCCCTCGGTAACCAAAGCGACCGTTTCGCCGCTCACTGCAAAAGCGGTGACTTCCCCCGGAGGGTCGGCGGCGGTGCCGCTTGTGACAGCGCCGCTTGCAACAGCCGTCGCTCCATCTCCGCTTGCCGCAGCACAAGCGGCGGCTTCGCTTGTAGAAGGCGTTTTGCCTACAGAGGCGGAGAGACCTGGCGCGAGGGGGCAGCGGCAGCATTCGAAGTCTCCCCCCTTTTGAAACAGGAGTGGCAGCAGCTCTGGCGGGGGCAGCTTCCTCCGTCTGCCACGGGCATCTCGCCCCCAGCAGCTGAACGGCCGGGGCAGCGGAGTCAGCGCTGACAGCAGCGCAGGGGCCGGGGCGGGGGGGCCAAGGGCCGAGCGGGGTGCTCCCGCTCCCGCTCCCGCTCCCGCCGCAGCTGCTCCTCGGCCACGCCGCTCTCGCTCACAAGTGCCTCCAGCATCTCCAAGACGGGCAGGTGTGGGCAGTGGTGAAATCGGGTCCGGGGCTGAGCTGCATCAGGTCCCGACCCAGCACGGTCGAGATGTGGTAGACATCGGCGGCTATCAGCTGGAACGGACTCTTCTCCAGAGCCCTCTTCGGGCTACCATCGATATCCTCCATTCCGGAGGATTTAGAAAAGCCAGGAAAAAACTGCAGCTAAAACTTCCAGCATGGGATTCAAACCCGTGGCGCTCTGGATTACCAAATGGGCTTTACTTTCCACACACCAAAAGCGACTTCAGGCCAGGGCAGGGTATTTTAAAGTAGAAAGGCGTCCCTTTCCTTCCGGCTGTACCAAGCCCCCTGAGTAACCACAGCACTACGGTCCACTGTCTACTGTCCCTGCCTTGCCTTCACCGAAGCTGTGCCGGGGGGGTCCTCCACCTGCACCCCCTTAATCGTCCCAGGCCAGTCAAATTGCCCATCCAGGCAAAACACTTTTCACCCACAGACTGGGAAAACACCGACTTTTGCAACAACAGGGGCCCAAGTCTCACTTCCCAGCCCCACTGTATTCCCAATTTCCAGAGAAAACCCCAGTTTATAATTGCTAGCAAAATTACCCAAAGAACCTGCTCTTTTATCTCACCCTTGATTGTTAGAAGCTGGGGCTTCTCAAGATCACTGCCGGAATTCTCCAAAATGTGCTGGCAGAAGAATTTCCTGCAGGATGAAATTTCCCAATCCAGAGTCCCAGGTGCTCCAGGGTGCTGGATTTCAATTTCCACCTTTCTGACACCAAACTGTTGCCTAAAAGACCGTGGAGAAAAAGACTCCAGGCCAATTTAGTGTAGGAGTAAGATAAAGAGAGTAGGTCCTTGTCCTAGTTAGAACAGCTGGGACCAGCTCATTACTGTGTGGGTGTAACCCAAACCTGTGTATTCTACATCCTCTATGCCATTTCCCAGGAACTGTTAACAATAGACCATTTGCAGCAGCTGCGCAGAACACACCTGACCCCTCAGGCTATAAATTGGGTGTTAAGAGGCCTGTGAGATAGGAGGATGCTCCTGTCCTCACACCCACAACGTCCTCTCACCCATTGTGGAACTCCCTGACCTGAGGGAGGTACTGGGCATTCCTGCCTGAACCTGAGGATATACAATCTTGGGGTCTTGGGACTTCTAGTACCACTCGTGGGATCCAGAGAAGGACCAGAACCTTGACCAGACTGTGACCACCACTCAACCAGACTGAGACCACCACTCTCAACCAGACTTGAGACCACCACTCTCAACCAGACTGCCACCATCACTCGCACCAACAGTTTTTTTGTGGGAAATAGGGCCTAGAAAAAACCGTACCTTTGCAGAGAACCGTACCTTTGCAGGAGTGGCTCATTACAGGGGTGAGCTGCAACTCCTAAAACGGCCATTTCAACTCCTATTTCAACTGCCACCGCTGTTTCAACTGCCATGACAGGTAGCAGCCAATCAAATGCTGCGGTCACAGATTTTACCTTATTAGGTATGATTATCTATTGGTGTTGGGTTATAAAAGGAGGGCTGCTACTCCAATAAACTTCTCTCAGCTACACCCCCCTGAGTCCGTGCCTCAATATGCCACAGTTTTTCTCCTCTCCTTTTACTTTTGGACTTGGAGAACCACATGGGGCTCAGCACAGGAGCCAACGAACAACATCCTGTTCGTGCCCCATGGTGCCGGGTTATACATCTGGGGTTTTGTGGGCTAAAACCAATTGTTTGTCTGTGTAATTGTATTCATTGTATTATTTTTATTAAATTTTTATTCTGATTTATAATCTCTCTTGAGTTGGGTTCATTTCCCCTGCTGGTTTACCTTTAAACCAGCACAGTCCCTTAATCTCGGGCCTGAGGCCCAGGGAATACACCTGACACCCGACTCTAGACAGTGGTTCTATGATTTTATAATAAGGTCCATCCAATCCCAGATTTGTCCACTCCCGGTTCTGCCCCCTGACACGCCCCTTCGGGAATTGGGTTTGGGGTCTTTGGGACCCCTTCTTTGCAGCACACACAGTTCTTGGAGTTCCTCCAGAGTTCTGGGCTCGAGGGTCGCTGTGTCTGTGTGATATCTTCTGGTCCAGGCCTTGGGTTGTTTTTCTCCAATTCTACCTTGACAAGAAGACTAAACACGCTGAGGGAATTTGGAGGGATTGATACGGAATGGGGTAAGAGAGTTGGGGATGTGTAAGTACTGTGTTAAGGGTAAGGGATATAATACAGCTACATTAAAATCTACATTCACTACACAGCTGCTTCTAAAATCTACAAAAGCTAAAAAAACCCCCAAAAGCTCTGAGGCATCAAGGGACACAGGTCAGGAGTTGCCCCCCACCTCCCAGCACCCCACAGCAGGTTGGGAGCTCAGGGGCCCACCCTGGACCCCCCCCCTCATCCCCCTTTCCCATCCCTTTTTTGTGCTTCCAATAATTTGTCTTGGCTTCTCCTACTTTTCTTTCTTTCTCTCCTCTCTTTTGGTTTTAGAAAATGAAGTTGGATTATCCTTTTGGAATCCAACATCTGGCCTCATTTGGGCCTTAACCTTGCTTGGGGGTATCTTAGAACCCAATTCCTCCCCTCATTTGTGAGTCAAGGCAAACTTTGCCAAATATCACTAAAAATCCCCCTAATTTCACCCCCAAGCCCCTTAATTCCACTCAAAATTCCCTTAGTTCCATGCAAAATTCCCCTCATTTCTCCCCAAATCCCTGATTTCATCCTAAATCCTCTTAATTCCACTGAAGATCCCCTTAATTCCACCTAAAATCCCCCAAATATCACCCCAAATCTCTTAATTCAACCCCAAAATCCCATAACTCCAACTAACCCCTCAATCTCACGGGAATTCCCTTAATTCCACCCCAAATCCCCTTAATTTCACCTAAAATCCCCCTAGTGTCACCCCAAATTCTTTAACTGTACCCAAAATTCCCTTAGACCCTTCTAAAATCCCCAGTTTCACCTGAAGTCCCACTGATTTCACCCCAGATCCCCAAGATTTCATCAAAAATCCCCTTAATTTCACACAACACCCCCTTAAGATGGCCCACCCCCCAATTTCACCCCGAATCCCCGATTTCACCTCAAATCGACTCAATTCACCTCAAAAGTCCGTGAACTCCACCTAAAATCCTCCAAAATCATAAAAAACCCCTAATTTCACCCCAAATCCACTTAATTCCACCCAAGATTCTCCCAATTCCATCCAAAATCCCCCCAATATCACCACAAATGCCCTTAATTCCACTTAAAATTCCCTTAATTCCACCTAAAATATCCCTAATTTCACCCCAAATCCCTTAATTCAACCCGAAATTCCCTTAATCCCTCCTACAATCCCCATAATTTCACCCCAAATCCCCCAGATTCCACCAAAAATTGCCTTAATTTCACACAAA